AGTAAGCTTCTTAACTTCTCTGTGCCTCTTTCTGCTGCTGGAAATGGAAATAAAAACAGCACAGTACAAGGATTAAGTGAGCTAACATGTAAAGTGCTCTGAAGGGTGCCTGGTAGCACAGTTAAAGTCAATAAAATATCAGCTGTTGTAAGGCTTACTGCCATTCTTTGCCCTTGCTTCACTGTCAGTGGGGTATTTTTTTCTTTTCCTCTTTTCAGATTCATTAGAAGTTTTCTGTTACGTTAGAGTTCTTAGTTTATACTCCTCTCCCAACTACATTTGTCCCCAGAGTGAAGCCCTGGGTCTCTAGTGCCTACTCTCACAGTTAAACAAGAAGAGCAATAGCATAGTGTCCTTTGCAAACGATCTTAGAAGTTATTCTGTGATCGTTTAAAGTTATACTTATTTCCCATACACAATAAGGAATTGAATGGTGTTTGAGAAAGTTACTCCTCTGCTACACCCCCCCTTCCTTCTTTGCCCCCTTCCAGCCAGGTGGGTCACCTCCTGGATTTTGCAAATAACTTGAATTCCCTTATTAAATACAAAATGGGTCACAGTGTAGGCCAAAAATGTATTTAGCTTTATAATTTCAGCAATAATGGGGCTTGGAAAGAGATATCATGGAAGAGGTAATAATACTTGTTTTTAAATGCCTTCAGAAGAGCTTCAAGTGTTGTTACGTGACTTCTCACTGAAAGATTTGAAGTCTTAGAGCCAGGAATTTACACAGTTTGCATTGTCTTATGCTAACAAGACAGTTAATCAGTTTTAATAGATCTTTGTTCTTCTGTGGGGTTTTTGTTTTTTTTCTTGACAAGGACTTTATACATTTTCACTCTCAATAGTCTCTAGGGGCGCCTGGGTGGCTCAGTTGGTTAAGCGACTGCCTTCGGCTCAGGTCATGATCCTGGAGTCCCGGGATTGAGTCCCGCATCGGGCTCCCTGCTCAGCAGGGAGTCTGCTTCTCTCTCTGACCCTCCCCACTCTCATGCTCTCTCTATCTCATTCTCTCTCTCAAATAAATAAATAAAATCTTTTAAAAAAAAAAATAGTCTCTAGTCTTTCTTAGATATTCTTGCTCTAAAAGAATGTATTTGTTAGAGAAAAGGAAGGACAAAGAAGAAAATGAATGCGGCCAAATGCCTTAGTGACTCATGCGGTGGTTAGTTTCATTACTTTATAAAGGTTGGTTGGCCTTTCTAGTCTGTCTATGAAGGGCTGGTCCATAGCAGCTATTTTAGGACAGTTTCAAGTTCTTACCAATTATTTCCTTACTCAGTATTTAACTTCAAAATAACTAATAAGTGACGTTATAGAAGAGATACTAATGATTCCTCGAAATATATTTGGTAGTATTCATTTAAACTTGTAAATTAGAGTTTACTTGGGAAAAATTCTTTAAAATTTGGGAAATATCATGAGGTAAAAAATTGACATAAAAACTTTAGAACGTTCGGGTAACACACCTTCTTAGCCTAAAATATTTTTGAAAATACAAATTTTAAAATACTTTCATCAGCTTAAAATTTGCTTTAAAGGTCTTTGTCACCCCCAAACTCCTTCAGTTTTGCTTTCTAAAACTAAAGTTCCTTAACCATGAAGTTGAAATTTGTATAGACTTTTTCAGTAGGATCATGTCTAAGTTCATCCTTACACCTGATTAAAAACACCATTTCCCTTAACCTGTCAACAACTCAGTTGAGCAGTCAGACTGCATTATTCGATATCTTGTCTGACAGGAGGACAGCATTCCAGAGAGAAAGATAACACAAATTGGTGCCACACTTCGATAAATAGAGACATTTTATTTTTCGCCAAGCTAATTCAATCCAGTTCAGTTAACTCTTTTTCCCCCCTTAAGGACAGATCAAAAAAGGTAGCCATGAATGACTGAGTGTGTCATGTGTTTGACACGTCAGTGTGTGAAAATAAAGCCGACCCCAAGGGAGGGGCCGTGCCTTTATCCTGCAGACAATGCCCCGCGAGAGCCCTCTCGCTCAGCTCTGCGCTGCGCATGGCTGCCAGTCATAATGGGGGTAGCGGGGCCGGCTGCGCACGACACCCTTTCCCCGGCCGGGGGGCGACCTTTGTCATTTCAGCATTCTTAAGAATTCTCAGACATTTCCCGGGCTGTCACTGAGTCTCACTTTAGTTCCGTAGGCTAAAGCTACTGGATGGTACATCTTGGTGGTTTTGTGATTTTGCTAAAATCTGTGTCCTCAATGTCTGTTTTCGAAAAATCGGCATTACAGTAAATCTAATGCCAGCATTTCTGTTTCTCAGTTCAGTACTTTCTTCCTGAGACAGAGAAGGATATCTGTACAGTCATACTGTTGTTCACGATAGTTGTCATTATTGTCAATTGTAATGGTATGGATTATGCTACCGGACATGAGTTGTCCAAATAGCATTTATGAAAGAAGATTAAAATTGTCAAAAACTTGCCCACTGCTCTAAGGGATCAGGTCCAAGAGCCCCATCTTTTGCATCAAGAGCCTTCAAGGGCTGCTTCCTCCCCACGGGCCTTGTGTTCTAGTCCCTTCCGTGTCCTGTAATGGTGTTGTCTCGCAGCCGCAGGCCACGCATCTTATCTTCAGAGCCCTTTCTCTCTGCCAAACCTGTCCTTCCTTCGTGCAATTTTAAATCCTCCCTTTTCCTTGACGTGGGCCTTCCTTAGCTAATTGCTGCGATGGGACATTTCGTTTTCCATGTGGTCTAAAAATGAGAAGAATCTTGAGTGCGCTCCCCTCCCTCCACAGGTGCAGCTCTGCCATGTGCCTGCTCAAAAGGAGGGGGGTTTGTGTTCTGAGGAATCCGGGAGTCCTGTCTGTCCAGGGCTTCAGCAGGGTGGCCGGGGCTCACTCAGCACATCTGTGTGCAGAGAGCAGGGCTAGGCCGTGGGTCCGAGTTAGGAGGGCAGGGGCTGGAACCACACACCTCCGCACCTCCCCCTCTTACTGACTGGCCACACTCAAGTTACCGAACCTCTCTGTGACTCGTTCCCTTATCCTGAAAATGAAAAATCACACCTCCCTTACGGGTTATAAAGATTAAATGGGTTAATTTTGGTAAAGTGCTTCGAGGAGTATCTGGCACAGTCTAAGTGCCATGTAAATGTTTATTTAATAAAATAATTCACTGAGCATGTTCTTTTAGTCACTGTGCTGAGTGTTTTACATGTTGTTAACCCATTTCATCCTAACAGTAGTCTCCTATGTGTGGACTATTGCCACCCCCCTTTTACAGATGATACAAAGTTAAGTGACTTGCTCAGGGTCACACAGCAAGATTAGGGCAGAATTGGATTTGAATTCACGCCCCTTGGCCCCAGGGCCGTCAGTCACTTCTCTCCTCTAACCACGGTGTGTACCGCAGACCTGAATGGAAATCATGTTGTGCGTGAGACTATCTCTGTTGGCTGGAGAGCCATGCGACAGGATGTGTTTCTTGACCTATTAGAAAACTGTGCCATGAGGGGATGGCCAGGAGAGGTTAGCCCTCCAGGACTAACCTGACGTTGATTGCCTTGGACTGGAAATTGGGGAGGACGGGGACCACCTGTGTTTAGCAGCCCCTCCCATGACACTCCAGGCCTACGTGTGGCTTGTTGGATTTTATTTGTGTTCATTTCTTTTAAGCCACTCTTTGCTCAGGCTCTTGAGGCTTTGCTGGTACACACTGATGCTAGTCTGGAACCGTACAGAACACTGTAAAGGCAGTGAATGAGAATGTGGGTCAGCTGCATCAGCCTGTTGCTGGGGTGTTCATTTGTGGGTATTTAAAATATGTTTTAATCTTCTCTGCCATGTCACCCAGCTCTACTGAAATATACTCAGTTTATCCACAGGAGTTCTAGCTAGAAAAGGTCAGTCATCAGTTCTGGAAGCTCGTGCTACGAATCTTAGTCATAACAAATGAAATGTTGGACGTGTGAGGCCTCCTCTCATGCAAGAAATGCAAGTGTGCCCCATGGGTTTATAGCTTGGGACATGTGCCTGTAGGAAGAGAGACTGGCCAGACGTTATAGCCAGTGTTGAGACTTTTTGTGCATGCCATCAGAAGTTGTAAAACTGAATTTCTTCAAAGGATTCCAATTATTTGGCTGATAAAACACAGATAAAGAAAAATGTCTATTTTACAGCTAAGTATTTTTTTTTGGGGGGGGGTATAAAAAGATTCCTAGGACAGTAATGCTTTGTAGAGGCTCTAATGTCCAGTACTCTTAAGTGCTGGGTAAAAGTTAAACTTGAATAGCAATGATGAAATATTTACTCATCAGATGGCTTTGAAGTTTAGCCACTTTTTGGTTGTAGTCCCTTCCTAATGGAGATGTTTCAAAGAAGAAAATGATTGTAGCATTCAGCTGTGATGTTCTCTTACTCTCTGCATGGAAGAAATCCATTTTGTTTTGGTCCATTTGGGTATTTACATTTTGAAGACCACTTACTTAGAAATCACATTAATGTCAGAAATAGTTCATACAACTCTGAACTCATTCTCATTGATAGGATGATGTTTAAAAGTTAATTTTTCTAATACCTATATAATCTTTTTAAAAGATTGTTCTAACTCTGGCATTCTACAGTCTTTCCAACTAAAATGTATTGAATTCTCCACAGTTTATATCAGAAGGGCCTCAGGTGAGTGTGCATATAACATGAATAAGTGATAAAATTCAGCTGTATAAACTATCTTACTGGGTAAAATCGCTTATGTTTAAAGATTTTTAGAAACTATACATTTAGAGGTACAGTTCTTCAGTTCTGATAATAACTGAAAGGTTTTCTTTTAAAGTTTAAAATTGTAGGTGCTTGGGAATGTTGAGTCAGTATTGTTTTTCTCCTGCATCCTGGGTTAAGTTTCATTCATCCATGTCATTTAGGACTTCAGAAATTGTTATTGCCGTGTTGGTTAGGAGGGTTCTGTTTTTATGTTTCCTCAACCATGCGGACTGTGCGATATACTTTTAACATTTGTGTTTGTCTTTTGTTCCTTAGTTTTCATATGAATCCGACAAGTAATGAGGACCTCAGGAAAATCCCGGTAAGTTGCAGAGGGGTTAGTGCATTACGGGAAAAGAAGCCACAAGCCGGCCTTCTGGCTGGCATACATTTTTAAAAAGACCTTCATCCTGAATCCCTCAGTTACCCTTGGATTATAGTTTAATGTGGTAATCTGGGGAGAAAGAAGAAAAGCAAAATTCCAGCTTTGTCTTTAATGTACGATAGGGTGTGACTTTATGATCTATAGAAATTCAAGCAAATATGATAGTTCTAATTGAAGCCAATTTAGAATCCACATATTTTGTTTACAGACTGTTTTAAAATTAATGTGAAAGCTGTATGTCAGGGTCAACATTATAGTTAGGAAATAAGAGCACGTGGAGAAAAATGAACATTTTGTTGTTGTTGTGGCAAAAATCGAAGAAAGAATAAAATTGCCTTATTAACATTGAACAATAGGAAAAGCATCCTGGCAAGAGATCTAGCTAACGGGGAGAGGCTTTGAAAGAACCTTTAGGACACTTACCTTCTTAGAACAAAACCAAATATATGAACAGGCTTGGAAGCGACCAGCTGAATTAACTCACAGATTTTGCAAGGACTATTCAGATATCTTAACTTCATTTTATTATTATTTGAAGCCCAGGTTTGACTCTCTGTTCCGAGTTCCACTGCATCTTCAGTCAATTCTAAATGCATCAAACCTGGAGAGTAAGTTACTTTACAAAAGTATGGGCACATGTTCTTGGTAGAAAACTGAATTCTCACTGAATAACAGAAATAGAGCCTTTATTCCAAGAGACTGGTGGTTGCTGTTTGAACCATCTGTCCTTAATGTGTGTGATCCAGATGTATAATAAGAATTTTTTAAAGCAATAACATATCACAATTTTCTAGGATGTGATTTGCCTAGAAGACAGTGTGGTGTGGTGAATAAACCATTCTAAATGTAGTTATTTGTACTTAGAACGGTAGAAAACACTATAGAAGCAGAGGACTTTGTGCTGCGCTTTTGCTGTTTTATGTAAATGATTTATAAGTTTTGATGTTTCATAAATGCTCAAGTCTTTAGAATATGGCAGTCTGGTGAGAAATGTCAGAATATATGAAGTCAGCCTTTGATCAGATAGTAAAATGAATTCTATCAGGCGGTTACTTAATCTCAAACAAAATGCAACATCAAAAAATCGATCTAATGTGCAGCCATTGTTTATTAAGTAACCTTAATTACAATTTCTCTGTGCTTGTAAATGTACTTTTCCCAATCTTGTAATTTATTGCCATAAAAGCATCCTTAGAATTCTTTAAAGAAATAAAATGTGAAAATTGTTTTAGTTAAAGGATTTAAAGGTGATAAAAGAATCCTTGATGTGTGATTGTTTTTCTCTGGAATACTAACTATTCTAAATGGCAGCGAAAGGATTACTAGGTGTTGTTAATTTACTGCAGGATACAATTAAGAGGAGAAGGCTCATCCTTCTACCGAGCGTTATTGAGGAAAAGTATTTGAACAATTTTTATGTTGAAGATTATAAGATGTTTGAAGTAATTTACATTAAGTTCTCCGATAATAGCCGTCCACCAAGTTATTTCTTTCCCCTTCTGGACATAGTATTTTGTAATTAAGTTTGTGTGTCTTACATGCTGTTGCCAACACCTGTCTGTGAAAGCTCAGTGTTTAAACAGGAGGAGTAGCCAGTTGAAAGGGCAGTGCGAGCTCTTTAAGGCCTAATTAAGAACTGAAAGGGAGATGAAGGCAGTAGGACAAAAGATGTGAAAGTAGCTGAGATGATATTCCCAGAGCAAAGTTCCTCATTAGAACAATAATGAGATGATCAGAGAATGCCAAGCCTTCATCTTCTCTCTCTCTCTCTCTCCTCTGGCTGCCTTGGATGTCAGTTAGTGCCCACCAATATTTGGTTACCAGGACAACCTTTCTTTAAATCTCCAGTTATTTTGAGTCCTGATAATTTGCTTTTGTTGAAATTTAAATATTGCAAAAAATATACATTTCCTCATTTAAAAGGCTAGGCTATGTGTGAAGTAAAAATAGATCACGAGTAATTCTCCAAAGTCTTTTGTACAACTCTGTTATTTAAAATTGTGATTGGAAAACTTCTTGTGATAATTCTGCCGATCTCTCACCCACTCCCTATTTTCTGATACCTGCATATGGAAATTTTTAACAGAGGTTGGGTCGGAATGACAAAGGATCGGTTGTGAAAGGGGAAGAGAGAAGACAAATTTACATTAAATTTCAATGTAAGAAGACATCTTAAAAACACATGTGCTATCTGTGTGGAGCCAGGGGAGTAAATATTAAGTACTTCGGAGTCCCACTGTAGGTTTAGGGGGTCTCTACCAGTTTGGAGGTTTCTCAGTTTTAGAAGTTTTTCCAAGAACAGTATTAGAAGTATCTTTTGGAAAAATAATTGATTATGTATTTGCCTGAGAGTTTTCCTCTTCAAGTAAAATACTTTTTGTGACCAGAAAGTTAATTTCCTATTGTATGGATTAATATTAATCTTTATTATTTTATTGGGAACTATATCAACAACAGAAGGAGAGGTAGATCTATACGTATGTATTGAGTATATCAGTCAGTTTGAGAATCTCAGGCCTAAAATTAGAGGGGTTAAATGCTTTTCAAATATGGGATAAAATCTGGAACTAAGCACAAAACTGTTTTTAATTATTATATATTCTTTTCCAGAATATAGTTTATAGTACATGTGTTTCTAAGATGTTTTCCTGCCTAGAAACTTGATGCAGAAATTTGGGAGAAAATTTTCACATAAAAGGACAAATGGAAAATGTATTGAAAGGTCAGAAATATATTTTCAGGAAATCTGTACATAAGTATTAGATGGTTGTGAGGGGAAAAATAAGCCAAATAATGGCTTTTCTACTCTAGATTATGGCTTTAAAGCATTGAACATTATCCTGGGATGATGATGAATTATTTTGAGAGATTAAATCGTTAGATTGATTCATATCATGGCATTAATGTAAACTACGTATGTCAGAATAAGAATTTTTCAACATGTCTTTCATCCTCATTGTCTTTAGAGAAATGTTTAAAAAAAAAGTTTCAATCACATTATCTGGTAGTACTGGTGTGGTTAAATATAACAATATAAATGATTTTCTAACTGTATATCATCACTTAGTTTGGAGAAATCAGTTCATATATGTGTAACTTGATTAAGATTAGAGAGACTCAGATGCTGTTATTATGTTAAACCAAGAAAACATAAAACAGCCTCAACTAGTCAGTAATGAAACCCATTTAGTTCGATTTCATTAACCCCTGCAATTCGCACAAGAACGCCTATTTTTCAGAATATGTTTTATTAGATAAATGAAATCACATTAGTTGGATGTTATTACTTTTCTAAAATGCAGTTCAGGAAAAAAAATTACTTTGTAGACCAGGAAATTTTAGAGTTGAAAGGAACCGTGGTGAACATCTCATTTATCAGATAAGGGAAGTGAGGCCCAGGCTGGTATCTATCTGTCTCAAATCTATGCAGAATTACTTGAGTTACAGTAAGAAAGTTTAGCTTATTTTTAATAAATTTAAAAAATACACTTACCTCAATACTGTGTCTTATCTTTTCTGTAGAAATCTGCTTAATATAATAAATGTTTAATAAGATTGTGGTTAGGAAATTTTAAGTTTTATATCTCTAAACTGCTCATGACCAATTAAATAAATCAGTAAATACATGAGTGTGAGAGTGTGTGTGTGTGTGTGTGTGTATATACTCTTATTACAAAAGATTGAGAGAGAAGAAAAAGTAAACCAGACTTGTCTCCAGGGTTGTGGTAAAGCAATATTCTTAAACGTTTTTTAGCGACAAAGGTAATACAGCTGCTAAAGTTGTATCTGGTCCCAGTTTCTATTGCTAAAATAAGTTGTTTTAAATACAGTCTTAGAGAATTTAAGCTCACTTTCCATTGGCATCCCCTCTATTCATTCTGTCAGTGTAGCGGAGGCTCTCACTAACTTTAACATTGCAGTAGCTTTACAGAGAATCTCAGCCCCTCCAAATGATCTTACCCACTCTGCCATTTTAATTTTCCTAGAACTTCACTTCAATCATTTTCTGCCCCTGTTTAGAAACCTTCAGTGGCTTCCTGTCACCCATTGCAATAATCCAGCGTCCTCGACGGTCTGTTGGAACCTCCCATCTCAGTCACTCCATGCCCTGCCCTGAACCTTGCTTTCCGGCACCCATTCTCTCCTGATCACCTGCTGTTGAGCCCACTGTGCCTTCAATCTGGTTTCCTCCTTTAAACAAGCAGAGCCCAGTGCTTGGGATGCCTGTTATCCATTTCTGCTTGGCAGAGTCTCTGAAGGCCTAGCATGAGCTATATCTTCTCTATAAAACATAAGCGATTCCATGAGGTTGGAGCATTTTTCGATCCTGAATTTTTCCCTTTTTCCTTGAGAAGGGAGTGACTTTGGTAACCGAAGCATCGAACTGATAACTGTACTTCAGTGTTTCTCTGATCGGCAAAGTCAAGGTGCTTTGGGGCCGAGGGGATAAAAAGTTACACTTTGGCTCTCGTGATGAGCACTAGACATATACCAAATTAAAGTAGATCCTGAAAATGAATAAAGACAAATTTAATCCAATGAAAACAAGAAAGAAAAAGGCCTGTTTGCATTCACCTGCCAGTCCCTGTTCTCCATCCTCCATGGAATAGATTAGATATAGTCCTTGAGAGCGGGACTGGTTTCCTCAGTGTATTTTTCCTTACAGCCAAATGGAAATGTTTTGAAAGAAAGTGATAAAAACCAGTTCTAAGCTGTTGAGTTTTAAGGATAGAACTATGTATAAAAAGGCATAAAGGTTGCTCCTTTATATTTGGATGTTACCGTTTATGTAATAAATCTAAATATTATACACTGTAGATGATGTTCCAGTGCTGTTTTGATGAAATTTCTGACAAGTATTTTTCTTTTATCATTAGAGTGCTTTGTAATAAAAATGAATTAAATCAGTGTCTTTTTCTGTTTTGTTTATATTATTTTTGTGTAAAAAAGAATACCGATAGAATAAGGTTAGCAAAATAATAAGTGAAAGGAGAGAACGCAGATAAACTAATCCTGAGTGTTCCTTCACGTGATTGTAGTTGAACTCCCGAGTTTCCTAATAACCAGGGCAAAAAGGTAAATAAGTTATATAGGGATTAGCACTAGGAGGAGGAGGAAATAGACTGGTTCCTCAGGGGAGAAGAAGCTTCGTTTGCCTCTAAATTAAAACAGAAGTTACCCCCACGGGGCTTCTTCCAAGGCTGCTCATTGATTTAATTCTGGAGGCCTTGAACAGTTCATAGCAAAGTGGAGAAGCACATGGGATACTGCTGCTTCTTGAAACCATTTTCAATAGAAAGCCAAAGTCATAACATTAAACCACAGTTCATTGGAAGCAGTTCCGTGAGGCCTAAGCCATTGTCCAAATGTATAGTTTTCAGTAACTTCTTAGAGTTGTTCCGAGTAACTCTTAAGAGATCTTTAGTTTTAATCTATTTTAGTTATATCTGTTACAGAACATTTTATCTCTTAGTCCTAAATTATATGGTCAATTTCGTATATTAGAACATTGTCCACAAAGTAAAAAGCGGTTCTAGAAGGATTTAGAATCACAGTCAAAGCTTTGGTGCATCTGCCCTAGTTCTTGCCTCAGGACCGGCTAGCCGCGGTGTGAACAGTCACGTTGGTTCTAGCCACAGACACAGAAAAAACTTGATCAGGATTTGAAAAATCAAAAGTTGAAGTTCAGAATAATTCTGAATTTGCCCGCCATGTTCTGTCTCCTAAAGTGACCCATCTTTGTCCTATTCCAGGACAGCAACCCTTTTGATGCCACTGCAGGGTATCGTGGTCTGACCTATGAGGAGGTCCTCCAGGAGCTGGTGAAGCACAAAGAGCTCCTGAGGAGGAAAGACACCCACATCCGGGAACTCGAGGACTACATCGACAACCTCCTCGTGAGGGTCATGGAGGAGACACCCAGTATCCTCAGAGTGCCGTACGAACCGTCCAGGAAGGCTGGCAAATTTGCCAACAGTTAATAAGCCGGTTGTGCTGCATTTATGATTAGGGGCAAAAAGGACAGAAGAAAGAGAAAAAGAATGAAGAAAATCTTGGTACCGCAAAAAACTGCATTATCAGGCGTCATTATATACTGTTTCCTTGCGAAAAATTATTTTACCTGTAAATATAACAGGGACCATCAAGAGTGACCTTTGAAGTGAGCTCAATAATTGAAACATTTAAAGTGAAAACGGGCCAGATTCTCCATGAATAAGCAGTTCCTTAGGATTCACTTAGGTGCTGCTGCTGGCCTACTAACCTGCCACAGACCTAGGGGGAGCTGCGAAGTACATGACGTACTGTTCCTCAGGAATGGATCTCATAAAGCAGAATCGATGCTCTGGCTGGGTTCTCAGAAGTCAATTTGTAGACATACTTAGCTGCAGGAATACTGTTCATTATAAACACTAAAAATTCATATTTTATATGCATATATATGTACATGAATGTATGTTCATGTATCTCTGTACGTAAAATACATGCATATACCTCATATATATACATGTGTTTCTAGAACATTTAAAAACAACTGATTGCCTCTAAAATTAGGATACTAATTTCTTAATTTGAAAATCTGGGGTGTGCTCCGTCGATGCAAAACAAGTCGTCATGGCTGCCAGCACGGTGTGTTAGAGGGAAGCTGCTTCAGATCACTCTTGACTGTGCGAATCTTGGTTTCACAGTGAGCTGCTCCTGTGTATTATTCCAGCATCAGATGTTTGCTCTTTTTCTAAAAGGACTGATTCCAAGGTTTTTTTCTTGTTTTTAAAGCGTGACATATTTGAGGAAAACTTACTAGCGTCACAAGAGTACGAATTTCTTGCGTTAATTTTTTATCTTAACATTTGCGTTTGGTTTAAGTAGGAGAGAAGCTAATGTAGTCTGTTCTGTTGAGATGTCTGTTGAATGCCTTTAAATCACTGGCAAAGAAAATATTAGCAAGTCAGATCTGAAAATAATTCTGAGGGGGAAGAAAGTAGGTGATCGTCAGATGCCTGATAACCCAAAGCAATGGACAAATTCTAGGAATGAAGAATTCGGCTTGGTTTCAAGTTACGTAAATAATAGAACAGATGGTTGCATTTGGGTCTTGAACCAAAATAAGAGTCACTGAAGGAGGAGTGAGTTGTTGGAACAGGCCTTCACTAGCAAGGCACTCTGCACACTGTTCTACATCCACCCTTAAGAATTGGTTTATTGCAAAATTATATGTCAGCTCTTTTAAGTCTGCTCCCCCAAAATATCGATTACTTCCGTGAATTATCTTTATAGATTTGTACAAAATAAGCCTGAAATGTAAAGTGGAAAACAGTGGTATGAAAATATTACTAGTCATCTGTTTATTTTTTCCCTTAAAAATCTGAAATACTTACCATGAAACACTGAATCTCTGTTTCTGGTTTTAAAAGAAAAAATTCACCCGTATATGGAGACCTCTATCCTCCAGGCCTTTAATGAACTGCATTTTTGTCTAATGTTTATCTCCACAAAGACTTTATTGAAAATTCAGTACAAAGCAGATAGAATAGTTTTGCTCATTTTAATATTCTGAATCAGATAATACTTGGCCAACTGTATATTTGTGAGCTAAAATTGCTCATTTGTGTTTTCTGAGTTACCTTAGTTTTCCTATGAGAGCATATTGTTTTGAAATTCTGGGAATTTTGCCTAAATACAAAAAGTTAAATAATTTTTTTAAATGAAGAAATGGAGAAGGAAAAATAGCTTTTACCAACTTTTTTTTTTCCACTTACAAATCTCTGTACTAAACCTCAAAATCTGGTTTAGAATTCTATTTTCTCATTTGAGGTCTTAGTAATTATTATTTTTTTAACACAGTGACATTTTTAGTTAGCGTTTTATTAAATATTATAAAATTCTTAGCATTTTTTTCTGTTAGTATAACTGAAGCTCTTCTTATACTTTTTAAAGTACTAAAATCCATGTGTTTTCAGTATTATGACAGATGATCTGCAGATATTTTAATATGCTTTGGCCAAATTTGTTCCTTATAAAATGAACCAAGATGTCCGTTTTGTATTGGGGATTTGTTTTATGTAAATAGAATTCATTAAGAAGTATTGTGCATATACTACTATTCTTTTTATGAGGAAATTCATTTCTAAGGAGAGGTTCTCTGCCAGGATGGAACTGTTAAGGATTAGCCTTATCAGACATGAATGATTCGGTTATAACTGAATCAATATTTTTATCTTTCAACCTGAGACAAGAATTGTGCTGAAAACGGAATCTGTACTTGTCACTGCCTGAAAATGTTCTGTCCCAATGTTTATGAACTTCTGCTCGGGACCTAGAGTCAAACTTATTATAAGTTTTCATAATTTGGTCATTATAAAACATTAAAATCAAAAAGTAAAACTGAATTCCCGAGCAAACATGTCAGTGTTTCCTGTGTTTGGGCAGAAGTGTGAACAGAGTAGTTTTAGTTTCTAGCACTGTAGGGAAAAAAAGGCCAAAAAAGATCACCTCCGTTTAATTTCTCCAAAATGTAACTTTTAAGTATTCTAAGGGTATATTTTGTTAGTAGTTTAGACATAGAAATAAAAGACATGCACTCATTCAGTAATGCACAGCACAGTAGACTTATAGACAGATTTTACTTTTAGGCTTAAACAATGCATGCTGAAGAATGTTCCCACCATTAAGAGAATTTTTTTAAATCACAGCATCGGTATTAGGCTAACCTATCTTAGGCTAACATACTTCTGTTACTGACTAAAGTATTTCTGCTGTTACTTTCAAAACAGTATTGTTTTCCAACCGGTTCCCCTTCCATTTCTAAAATTCGGCTTTGAAAGTATTGAACCTACTGTCCTACCACTTAGACTTCAAATTGCATTTACCGAATCCCAGGGTTATAGCTTAGAATTGTATATAAAGTGACATGTCACCCATTCATGAAAAACGTTCAAGTATTGCTTTTTGCTGCTGTATTGTGCATTGAACCTAGTTTTGCCACCCTCCCATGAATGTAGTATTATCCATAGATTATGCATAACTACATCTATTGCTTTCGGCAGTAAATGAAGATTTTGTTGTAATTTTCCAGCTGTGAAAATGTTGCCTTGTATTTAAAAGGATTTCATGAATGGAAACCTAAGTAAAACTCAGCTCATTAGTGACAGACTTGCTTTCCTCACATCCTTCCTTCATCTACTTCTCCATCTTCGCACCCCCCTCCCCCCACCTCCCACCCCCATAAGAGTGCTTATTCTTTAGCAAGGAGAATCTTAAAACAAAAACAAAAACTGCTGTCTTTAATGTATCTAGTAATTGTTACACTAGAGCTTTTATTTTCCTCTGTAGCTTTTTAGGAGAAGCGACCTACTTTGGATTTGTAATTCAAGCTGAAACTTTTTGATGTCCATGTACTCATATGTCTTATAGATACGGTAGGTGTGTGTGTGTGTGTGTGTGTGTGTGTGTGTGTGTAAGTGAAGTATAAAGCATGCTCATTCATTCGATCTCTTTGAAGTAAGAGGTAAAGGACCACAGTGCCGCTGGTTCATGAAGATGTAAGGGTCTGTCAGCACACATCGAAAGCCCCCATTTTCACAGATTTATAACTTTAATAATCCAGATGCAATAATCATTGGAAGTATTTAATATGCAATAGGTAGCACCTTAACTAATTAATCTGCATATGAAGGGTTTTCTGATGTATTTAATAAGAAGTGTAGAAGCTTTCAAGCATTAAACTAGAGCTGACGTTTTATTTCATTTATTTTCTTGTGTCGAAAATTTCCACTCTTACAATGGAATTGAGGTCTGTAAAAAATGATACATTGGACCTATTAATCTTTGAAACTTCCAGGTGGTTTGTA